TTTTTATTTTAAATTATATTATTATTTTTTTTTTATTATTTTTTTGTTGCTGCTTTTATTGTTGCCTCTATTAATTTTCTTGCCTTTTTTTATCCAAAAATGATCGGCCAACGAATGCATTTCCTTATTGTTGGGACACACCTGGCTGCTTGATTAGCACCAGGCTGCATCTCTCAGTGTATGGCTGATAGCTGGAACTAGACCTCTGAACCCTACATCACTTACTACTGACCTCTGATCCCTGCATCACTTACTACTGACCTCTGATCCCTGCATCACTTACTACTGACCTCTGATCCCTGCATTACTTACTACTGACCTCTGATCCCTGCATCACTTACTACTGACCTCTGATCCCTGCATTACTTACTACTGACCTCTGATCCCTGCATCACTTACTACTGACCTCTGATCCCTGCATTACTTACTACTGACCTCTGAACCCTGCATCACTTACTACTGACCTCTGAGCTCTGCATCACTTACTACTGACCTCTGAACCTTGCATCACTTACTACTGACCTCTGAACCCTGCATCACTAACTACTGACCTCTGATCCCTGCATTACCTACTAATAACCTCTGAACCCTGCATCACTTACTACTGATCTCTGAACTTTGCATCACTTACTACTGACCTCTGAACCCTACCTTACTTACTACTGACCTCTGAACCTTGCATCACTTACTACTGACCCCTGGACTCTGCATCACTTACTACTGACCCCTGGACTCTGCATCACTTACTACTGACCCCTGAACTCTGCGTCACTTACTACTAACCTCTGAACCCTGCATCACTTCTTCCTGAACCCAGACCTCTTTATCACTTACTACTGACCCCTGAACTCTGCATCACCTACTACTGACCCCTGAACTCTGCATCACCTGCTACTGACCTCTGAACCCTGCATCACTTATTACTGACCTCTGATCCCTGCATCACTTATTCTTGAACCCACATCTCTTTATCACTTACTACTGACCTCTGTGTCACTGCTTACCCCTGAAATCATTACTGAACTCTATGTCGCTTAGTGCTGACCCCTGAACTCTACATTGCTTGCTACTGAACTACGTCTCACTTACTAATGAATCTGTGTCAATTACTACAGAGTTCAGGGGCTTTCCTCTGTTCTTCTCTCTTGACTCATCACAGTTCTCGGGGGTACTGCAGTCTTTCTGTCATGCCCCCTCACATGAGCCAATGGACTGACACCGTGGCTGAATTGTCTATATGTTTTTCCATTGCTCTCTTTAACTCATCTGAATGTAAGTACAATACTTAAGTTTTAAATAAACATCTGGAACAGGGTTGCACTATGAAGTCTTCTCTTGTTTCAACCCTTTCATACACCGTTGAGGAGAGCGGTATGAAGTGGTGAAGCCGGTTCCTGGTGGGAACATGCAGTGGTTTGCTGTAGTCATCCATCCTCCTTGGATCGGTCAGCGTGGAGTTTGGACACTATCCACTCCTTTGATCTCTATAGCTTGAGGTCAGTTTGGTTCGGTAAGAGGCTTGCCTGTTTCTTTGAGGAGCACCTTTTCAGCACAGCAGCACTTTATTGGAAGATACATTTGGCACGCAGCACTTTTCCTTCACATTGGATTCGGGGGCTTATATGCTTTTATATTTATTTGTATCACATTGAACTTTATATGAAACATTATTATTATTTGGTGATCTATGCATTTCAGTTTGCACAGTATTGTATACATGAAGTAGTTACATTTGAGGATATATGAATTTCAGTTTGCACAGCCAGAGTGGCAAATGATCTAACGCCCATTAGATGCCACTGGCAATAAGCAATGGAAGAAAGTAGTGACTGGATATGTTGGGAAACCCCATCTGATCTCTGTTATCTTCCCCTTTATATGCTAGCACTGAAAGAATGTGCAGTACACCTTCATCTGCATAAACAGGAATGGTTGCATGATATGACTCTTTATTTAAAGGATAAGTTCACCTTTGGAACATGTTGCACGCTCCACCCATTTTTAGGGTGAAACATGAAACCTGTTCTCATAGCTGCAGCGCCGCCTGCCACTGCCTTGCCCCCCCCCCTCTGACAGATAATACGGGGAAACTTCACAGAGTTCTGTGAAGGAGTGCCTACAAGTCCCAGCAGCCTTAACGGCTGTGAGCTTGTAGTTTTCAATGAACTATCATGGAGCTGTGGAGCTCTCTGGTAGTTCATTGAAGCTTCTTGTCAGTATATCTGCTTGGCTGTACACCCCATACACCCCGTACCCCCCTGTACATCCCCTACACCCTGTACATCCCGTACCCCCCGTACATCCCATACACCGCCTACATCCCGTAGCACCCTATATCCCCTACATTATGTACCCCCCGTACATCCCGTACATTCCATACACCCCGTACACTGCCTACATACCGTACTCCTGTAGATCCCATAACCCCCAAACATTGCCAACATCCCATACACCCCGTACATCCCCTATCCCTCATATACCCCATACATCCCATACCCCCATACATCCCACACACTGCCTACATCCCGTACATCCCCTACATCCCATACCCCCCATTACACCATCTACATCCTGTACCCCCCGTACCCGCGCCGCACACCCTGTACATCCCGTACACCATGCACACATCCTACATCCCGTACACTCTTTACACTCCGTACACTGCCTAAGTCCCATACGCCCCATACATCCCATACACCCTGTACATCCTCTACATCCCGTACCCCCATACATCCCGTACACAGCCTACATCTGATACACCCCCATACCCCTCGTACACCCCATACATCCCGTACACCCTGTACACCACCTTCATCCCATACATCCCATACACGGCGTACCCCTGTAAATCCCCCGCACACCTCCTACATCCCATACATCCCGTACATTCCATATACCCCGAGCGGATATAGTGAATGTGGGTGTCAGGGCTCCGGGTATGACCAGAGGTATGTGAACTGACGCAGGGAAACGCAGGCTTCAGATATGTTATAAACAATAAGACAATTTATTAAAGACTAACAATACAAACATAAACGCAGTGCACCAAACCCCAAGCTAACACAAATACATACAACAAGGTGAAACAAACCCAAACCTAAACTGATACAGATACCCAGGTACATACACATGTAGAGCACAACGTAATCAGGCAGGCCGGGTCGATAACTATCGGGCAGGTAGGTACAGGAGGAGCAGGCGGAGAGAATGGTCAGGGTCACAAGCCAGGGATCAAAACAGGAGAAGTTAGCAGAGGTCAGGATCAGGCAGGGTCAGCAACAAGTCAGGCAGAGGCAGGAACAGGAACAGGAACAGGAACGCAGGTTACAAGATACAGGGGCCCATGGAAAAACACACACCAAGGCACAGACTGCAGGTCTGGCCATCCCTTAAATACACCTGCATAATCAGCTTCAGGTGTTTGGCTGGCTGCAGGGTTGAGTCTCTGATTGCTGAGAGCACCCGCTGGCCAGCCCTGGTACTGCAGCCCACAAGGCAGGTGAGTCCCACCATTACTGGCAAGTCCATTCCTGACAGTACCCCCCCTCAAGGAGCGGCCTCAGGACGCTCCAAACAGTCCTAGCTGGGCAAAATGTTCCACCGCCCGGGTCTGGTTACTGGCGGGATATCAAAGACTGGCACATCAGGCAGGACTCCGGGCAGCGGCACATCGGGCTGGACTCCGGGCAGAGGCACATCGGGCTGGACTCCGGGCAGAGGCACATCGGGCTGGACTCCGGGCTGAGGCACATCGGGCTGGACACCGGATCACCAGGCGGAGCAGCAGGCACCGGGCCACCAGGTGGAGCAGCAGGCACCGGGCCACCAGGCGGAGCGGCGGGCGCCGGGCTCCCCGGCGGAGCAGCAGGCACCGGGCCACCCAGGCGGAGTGACAGGCATCGGGCCCCCAGGCGGGGCGGCAGGCGCCGGGCCCCCATGCGGAGCGGCGGGCACCGGGCCCCCAGGAGGGGCGACAGGCATCGGGCCCCCAGGTGGGGCGACGGGCGCCGGGCCCCCAGGCAGGGGGCAGCGGGCGCCGGGCCCCCAGGCGGAGCGTCAGGCATCGGGCCTCCAGGCGGGACGGCGGGCGCCGGGCCCCCAGGCGGAGCTGCAGGCACCGGGCCCTCAGGCAGAGCGGCGGGCATACCACGGGCCCCCAGGCGGGGTGGCAGGCACTGGGCCCCCAGGAGGAGCGGCGGGCACCGGGCCCCCAGGCGGAGCGGCGGGCGCTGGGCCCCCAGGTGGAGCGGCGGGCGCCAGACCCCCAGGAGGGACAGCAGGCACCGGACCCCCAGGCGGAGCGGCGGGCACCGGGTCATCAGGCACGACAACGGGCATCGGGTCACCAGGCATCAGGCCATGTGGCTCGCCAGCGGGCACCGCGTCATCTGGCAAGGCAGTGGGCACCGAGTCACCAGGCACGACAGTGGGTTCCGAGTCAACTGGCATGACCACGGGCACTGGGTCAGACATTGGATCGTCTGGCTCGACAGCGGGCATCGGGTCACCAGGCATCAGGTCATTTGGCTCGACAGCAGGCACCGCGTCATCTGGCAAGGCAGTGGGCACCGAGTCACCAGGCACGACAGTGGGCTCTGAGTCAACTGGCACGACAGCGGGCACCGGGTCATCAGGTACCGGATCGTCTGGATCGACAGCGGGCACCGGGTCATCTGGCGTTGGATTGTCTGGCTCGACAGCGGGCATCGGGTCACCAGGCATGACAGCGGGCACTGGGTCACCAGGCATCAGGTCATTTTGCTCGCCAGCGGGCATCGCGTCATCTGGCAAAGCAGTGGGCACCGAGTCACCAGGCACGACAGTGGGCTCCGAGTCAACTGGCATGACCGCGGCACTGGGTCAGACATTGGATCGTCTGGTCCGACAGTGGGCATCGGGTCACCAGGCATGACAGCGGGCACTGGGTCAACAGGCATTGGATCGTCTGGCTCGACAGCGGGCATCGGGTCACCAGGCATGACAGCGGGCACCGGGTCATCAGGTACCAGATCGTCTGGATCGACAGCGGGCACCGGGTCATCTGGCGTTGGATCGTCTGGCTCGACAGCGGGCATCGGGTCACCAGGCATGACAGCGGGCACTGGGTCATCAGGTACCGGATCGTCTGGATCGACAGCGGGCATCGAGTCAACTGGCCTAATAGGATCATCGGGCTGGATCAGTTCATCAGGCTGGGTAGAAACATCAGGCTGGGTAGAGACATCAGGCTGGGTAGAGACATCAGGCTGAATGGAGGCATCAGGCTTAATGGAGGCATCAGGCTTAATGGAGGCATCAGGCTGGGTAGAGGCATCAGGCTGGGTAGAGGCATCAGGCTGAATTGTGGGTGCCGAGGCACCAGGCTGCACCACGGAAGGCAGGTTCTCTCAGACGGCAGGCTGACCGGTTTGGATACTGGCAGGATGGTATTGGTTGGAAAGAACTTTCACCTTTTCCTGGTTTTAGTTACCGGAGCACCGTAAGTAAGCGCAGGTTTGTAAACGGATGGAGCAGCTGGAGACAGAGAAGAGCTGGAGGATGGAACAGGGGAGGGAACAGTTGCTACAGAGGGCTTCTTTACAGGGTTAAAAGCAGGATAGGTGCAGTGAGTGGGAACAGGGTACTGACATGTGGTAGATAGCAGGGTATACTGGGCTGTAACTGGAGGTGCTGTTGGGAATGCAGGAATAGAGCTTTGAAGAAATAGATTAGAAGCAGGACTGGGTTTTTGCAAGCTGACTGAGGCTGGATGTAACAAGTCTGTCCATGTCTGCAGTATGGGTTGAACAAAGCTCAGCTTACACAAAGCCTGTCTGACCAAAGACTGCACTGCGTTTATACAATCCCTTAATACCTGTGGTGAACATGCAGCATAATGCTCCAAGAAGCAATCCACATCATCCTCTAATAACCATACCAGGGACTCTACCTGGTCTGCACTAAATGGTGGCAAAAAGTCATTCCTGCTTTCAGGGGTACCAGATGAAGCCAACTCTACACAAACCTGAATCAAAGGTTGCACCTCAGAGAACTCTGTGCCCTGATCTACTAGAACATGAGCGATCCGTATACATTCTAGTAGTTGATCCCGGGTATACTCCTTCAGAGCCTGATAAGCATATTCTCTGTCATCAAAAACCAGCAGAGATAAATACACAACCTCATCCAGATCCATCCTTCCCAGCAACAAGCCAAGATGGCTTCCCTGTGCAGCCACTTCTGGTCAGGATTGGCCTTGGTGTAATGTCAGGGCTCCGGGTATGACCAGAGGTATGTGGACTGACGCAGGGAAACGCAGGCTTCAGATATGTTATAAACAATAAGACAATTTATTAAAGACTAACAATACAAACATAAACGCAGTGCACCAAACCCCAAGCTAACACAAATACATACAACAAGGTGAAACAAACCCCAAACCTAAACTGATACAGATACCCAGGTACATACACATGTAGAGCACAATGTAATCAGGCAGGCCGGGTCGATAACTATCGGGCAGGTAGGTACATGAGGAGCAGGCGGAGAGAATGGTCAGGGTCACAAGCCAGGGATCAAAACAGGAGAAATCAGCAGAGGTCAGGATCAGACCGGGTCAGCAACAAGTCAGGAAGAGGCAGAGGCAGGAACAGGAACGCAGGATACAAGATACAGGGGCCCATGGAAAAACACACACCATGGCACAGACTGCAGGTCTGGCCATCCCTTAAATACACCTGCATAATCAGCTTCAGGTGTTTGGCTGGCTGCAGGGTTGAGTCTGTGATTGCTGAGAGCACCCGCTGGCCAGCCCTGGTACTGCAGCCCACAAGGCAGGTGAGTCCCACCATTACTGGCAAGTCCATTCCTGACAGTGGGGTCCGGGGAGAGCGAATATAGTGAATGTGGGGTCTGGGGAGAGCGGATATAGTGAATGCGGGGTCCGGGGAGAGCGGATATAGTGAATGCGGGGTCCGGGGAGAGCGGATATAGTGAATGCGGGGTCTGGGGAGAGTGGATATAGTGAATGCAGGGTCCGGAGAGAGCGGATATAGTGAATGCAGGGTCCGGGGAGAGAGGATATAATGAATGCTGGGTCCGGGGAGAGCGGATATAGTGAGTGGCGGGGTCCGGAGAGAGGGGAAATAGTGAATGCGGGGTCCGGGGAGAGCGGATATAGTGAATGCTGGGTCCCGGGGAGAGCGGATATAGTGACTGAGGGGTCCAGCGAGAGCAGATATAGTGAGTGCTGGGTCCGGGGAGATCGGATATAGTGACTGCGGGGTCCAGCGAGAGCAAATATAGTGAATGCGGGGTCTGGGAGAGCGGATATAGTGAATGCAGGGTCCGGGGAGACCAGATATAGTGAATGCGGGGTCCGGAGAGAGCGGATATAGTGAATGCGGGTCTGGGGGTGAGCGGATATAGTGAATGCGGGGTCCGGGGAGAGCGGATATAGTGAATGCAGGGTCCGGGGAGACCGGATATAGTGAATGCGGGGTCCGGGGAGAGCGGATATAGTGAATGCGGGGTCTGGGGAGAGCGAATATAGTGAATGCAGGGTCCGGGACAGCGAATTTAGTGAATGCGGGGTCTGGGGAGAGCAGATATAGTGAATGCAGGGTCCGGGGAGAGCAGATATAGTGAATGCGGGGTCTGAGGAGAGCGGATATAGTGAATGCAGGGTCTGGGGAGAGCGGATATAGTGAATGCGTTAGTGCATTACCTTTGAAATATTTGAATACTTCACTCTGTGAACCACTCCAAACTCACACAGAGCTGTGCAAATACCATTAATTAAAATCAATTTGTGTAATAGATTCAAATCAAAACGTGAAAAACAGTGATCACTTCAAATCTCAAGTGTGAATAGTGATGCTAGGTACTAGTACCCTTTATACTCCAGCCACAAGTGATACTAAATACCATTACCCTCTTTCCATAGGTTTAGGGTTGTCTTTCCCTGATGTCCCTTTAGGTTCACCTTTCCTCCCTGGAAGAGATGAATTCTCCTTATTCCTATTTTGAACTTGGGAGGTCTGTTCCTGTATTGACCTAATTCTTATATTATCTTCTGATAATGATTTGGCCGGTGATGATTCAGTTGATTGACAATTCAAAAAAGTAGCCGATTCCTGCCATTTATAAATTTTATTCGCCTGATAATCACCCATATCTCTAACAAATTTTTTATGTTTCTTTCTCTTAATTTCCCCATCTTTTTTGTTAAGTTTGTTCCTGTAAGGTCTGAAAAAAACCATTTAAATCCCTTTTGTCTTTTAAATTCTTCCACCTTCTTTTTCATTTCTTCTAATTTTAATTCTGTTACCCTTAATTTTCTCTTTTTCCTCTCTATTAACATAATGAGTAATTGTTCCTCACATGTGTGAAAGAATTTCTTCCACTCAGTTAAAGAATCTTCATCATTGAGCCCATCATTGGGAACCAAATCCCATCTTTAATCTCCTTGGTACTATACCCTCTTTAATGTATTTCTCAAAAGTTACAATATCCCACCATAATTGTAACTTCCTCTCCATAGTGTAGCCTACTTTTTTCATTAATACCTCCACATTTGCATCACAGGCTATTTGAGTAGTTGAGAATACTTCCTCTAAATTGATTTTCCTAGTATCCATGAAATTAAAAACATCCATATTGATAACCCTCTTATAACAGTATATAAATGTGAATGCCTACTCTATATCAAAAGGAGAACATACACCCCCTGGTGTGAAAAACAATCAATCAATACAGCTCCTCAATACCACATCAATCACAAAACACTACTCTCTCCCTAGAGAGTATACAATATATATATAGAATTCCTTTTGTGATAAACCTCTAATTTACCCAAAGTAAAACTCCATATGTGCTAAATAAATAACTAAAACATAATGTGAATAAATAAAATAAATAAATAAAATAAATTCTCAAAAAATAATAAATTCTCAGAAAAATAATAATCAGAAAAATAATAATAATAATGAGTGTCCAAGTCCCAAAAATTGATAATGTCCAAAATTTAGATTTTTAATTGTCCAGTGAAGCAAACCGATTCAAAATAATCCTTGGTAACCTCAAGAAAAAACAAAAAGAAAAATTCATAGTGCATTACCTTTGAAATATTTGAATACTTCACTCTGTGAACCACTCCAAACTCACACAGAGCTGTGCAAATACCATTAATTAAAATCAATTTGTGTAATAGATTCAAATCAAAACGTGAAAAAACAGTGATCACTTCAAATCTCAAGTGAATAGTGATGCTAGGTACTAGTACCCTTTATACTCCAGCCACAAGTGATACTAAATACCATTACCCTCTTTCCATAATTTCAAGCATAGGCTAATACAGGCAAAGGTCTCCATCCATCCTTCTTTTCAGGGTTATTCCTCATGCAGGTAAAGAAAGGCTCATTTAGGGCAAGATCCATAAGAAGGGACACATTTTAATAGCAACTTACATTAAAATAAGAGATATCCAGCTTCCAGCAATGAACTGACAAGTTCTAGGTTGAAAACCAGTATGTTTCCAACCTTCAAAATGGCCGCGGCGACACTTCCGGTTGGCGTGCGTGCGTGATGACGTCACTCCCCTAACGCGTTTCGTCACTTCCGGACTTCGTCTGAAGGGATCCAGACGTCTCATTGGTCTCTCCTTAAGTACTGCTATTTCTCAATAGGATGAGGCCAATTCCGCCATCTTGAATGAGGGGGAAAACACCGCAAAACACCCCATCTAACTTGCTACGGACCGCAACATACCGGATAGCTTCTCCAAATTCATATTACAATGTCACATATAATTATTAAACACTCAGAACTTTTCTAAATAAGATCAAACAACCTATATATTATACATCTATTCAACATAACCTCCATATTTCTATAGCCCTAATAAATCAATTATATCCCAAGATGATTATAACTGTGATATACTGACAAACGAATCCTATCAAAATCAGATACAGTTAAACTGCTAGATCATCTAATTGAATATATGTAAATATATTAATCATATTAAATAATTAAAATCTAAAAACATGTCAAATACTCCCCCTAGTGGTCTTTTTAGGTAAAATCTTTATAAAAATATACTGATCCTATTTGTTATGTATATTCAGACACATAATATATAATATATAAAATCTAAAATATAGAGTAATGACTGTCCCTCTTAATATAGCCCCCACTTATTTATATATTTAAAATTAATATTTAATAAAAATAAAATAAAATAAAATATACATATAATTCAATTTAATTCTATTTAAAATCCTAAAAAAAATATATATATACACACATACACACACACATATAAAACAACTCCTTCAGATTCTAATCAAAAAAGTTAGAGAAAAGATTTGCCCCTTATTTCATCTATCTGAAATAAAACAATTTAAGTCTAATTCTATATTTTAATCCCTTCGGTTTCAATGTGTTTAGCCGAAAAATCCAAAAAGTTTCATTCTGTGACAATCTTTGAACTTTATTGCCTCCTCTCCAGTGGCCTTTCACAGTGTCAATTCCACAAAACTTCAACAAACTTGGATCCGAATTATGGAATTCCTTAAAATGTTTCGAGACACTGTGATCTTTTTTGCCTTTTATGATGTTCCTAACATGTTCTTCCAGTCTTACACATAGATTCCTCTTAGTTCTCCCTATATACTGGAATTGACACGGACATTCCAGCATATATGTAACATATTTTGTATTACATGTGATTAACTGTTTTATAACAATCTCCTCTCCAGTGGAGAAGGATCTAAAAGATGGGATCTTTCTATTCCTAGTATTCGTAACTCTACATATCCTACATTTTTTACAAGGATAGAATCCTTTAAGGTTGAACATATTATTACCCGTCTTTTTTTGGTGGGGAGATTACTCCTTTCACCAGAGTACTCCTTAAGTTATTCGTTTTTTCTATATATATAAACGTTGGTTTCTTTGGTAATATTGGACCCAGGACATTATCTTTCTGTAAAATTGGCCAATGTCTTATCAAGACCTTTTCGATTTCTTTAAACTGACAATTAAAGCGTGAAATGAACGCATATTCTGCTTGTGTATTATTCTTCTCTTTTATTTTTATTATTTTCTTGACTTTACCTTCCCCTAAGTAATTCTGACTAGTTTTGAATCTCACATCCTCCAATTTAATTGGGTCATAACCCTTGGAAACAAACCTCTCCTTAATCACGTTAGATTGTACTATATAGTCCTCCAATCTAGAACAATTTCTCATAATTCTTGTGAACTGACCTTTCGGTATACCTTGTATCCATTGGGGGTGGTGACAACTAGTCGTAGGAATGTATCCATTTCTATCAGTATCTTTAAAATAGGTTTTAAAACATAATTTATTATTGAATTTAAAAATATAAGGTCCTAGAAATTTGGCCGATAATATTACTGAGATTGTACGTAAATCCTAACTCATATTCATT